AAGAACACGTGTAATTATAACCCTACATATGGAACTAACTGTTGGTTAAACCCCTGACAATCTTATGGGATACCCTATGAAACTCCTATCTCAGCCAGTCTTACCCAACAAGCAAAGATGCATTTCACTTGAGATGTGTTGCCCTGCTTGTGTGCAGAGACCATCAGGCAATGGGGAAATTCCTGGAACAACACTTGATAACCTTTAACAGAAAACCAATGCAGACAAATGCTCCAGCCCCATTATTCCACTGGGAACTGTCCATTTTTGCAACCTTTGGTGAAGTGGGACGGGACTGAGCAGCAGGTTTCTGGGAATAGGTTTTATTTTAGATGCTTTGTGTATTGAAATGGAAAAGCCTCTTTTAATTTGCTTTTGTCTCCAGTGACCATAAGCTTGCCAAGAGCCAAGTCAACGTTCTGTGATTAAATGTGTTTGCTGCTGATTCTCTCAGGGGTCAGTGGTTCTGAAAGCTCAGGATCAAATTCTAAAAGTATCAAAGACAGCTTTTTAAAAACAAAATTACAAAATGTGTCTAATTACATTTAACTATCTGTGTAAATGATAGTTTAATTAAATAATTAAATACCAGGGACTAAGTTATAAAATGGAGAGACCTTTCTAACGCCAGTGATGCAATAGTGGTAAAATTGATGTATCTGGCAAAAGTAATTCTTTTAGAAAATAGTGGCCTGTTATATATTTGGAATTAAAGGAAGAAAAATTAATCTAAAGTGTTTAAATAGATATACTCTCTGCAGTAAAATTTTTACCTGCAATGACATTTTCATTTTGTTTGTTACTTAATAGATGCCTAGCAGTACATTTCATGACTTTCTTTCTTTCGATTACTATTTGTAGTTTATGGACTTTGAAATCATAATAAAATAGAATTTATAAAGTTGTTCTAACTCCCTAGGTTCCTCTCAGAGAACTGGGGATGCTATTCTGTAGTTAAATGAAAACAAAACAAAACAAAACTGCTGAAAATGAGTGTTTTAGAACACAGTTGTAAAAGTATAGTTGGGATTTTCAAAACCACTCAACAATGACCTCACTCTTTGTCCCTTGAAATAAATGGGAATTTTACAATTGGCTTTGAAAAGATATTATAGAGTTAGGTTTATTGTGAGTGCTTTTGAAAATCCTACTTGTAAATGATGGAAGCCCCAAAGGTTAAAATTCAGTCTATGGTTGCCCTTATCTTTAATGGTTCTTGGAGAATGGAATGATCTGAGCACAGGATTTGGGGACAGGAATTTCTGAGTCCTCAATCTCATTCCGACACTGACTTCCTCTGTGACCTTGAGCAAAACACTTAAACCTGCACTTTAAAACTTTAGTGCCTGAAGTTAGGCACCTAAATCATTATTTAAACACCTCAGAAAGTGGTCTGAATTTTTTTTTTTAGAGCTACTCAGGACCCACAACTCTTATTGACTTCAGTCAGAGCTATAGGGCTGAAAATCAGGCCAATTATTTAGATGCCTAACTTTAGGCATCATGGCACAGATCCACAAAGGTACTTAGGCACCTAAGTCACAATTTTAGGCTCCACTGCAACCCACAAAACTCTCTCAGCTGCTGCCTAACCCTATAGGTCCCTAAACACACTCAGTGCCTAAGTTTTTGCAATTAAAGTTCCCTGACACCTAAATTTCTGCTGCCTCACTCTATGCATCTGAACACCTGTCTTCTTCCTAAGCCCCAGAGTGATCCACAAAGTGGGGGAAGGTAGGGATTCATCCACCTCACTTGCATGCAGGGCCCAATTTGGTAGGTGTGCTCAGAGGCCACGTACTGGATGAGGACCCATTCAAAAGCTGGCTGGAGGAGGAGGTGCCACCGTATAACTTTTAGCCTCCTAGTTAGAACACTTACCTGGGTTGTGGGAGACCCCAGTTCAGCAAGGGAGAGAAAGGATTTGAACAGGGGTCTTCCACTCCTGTCAGCTAAGTGCTCTAATCACTGAGCTCTGGGATATTCTGATGTGGGGCTCCCTCAGTCTCTCCTGTTGAAGTTGTTCCACTTTGTATAAATAATTAGTCATTGGAGCAGGGAGACTGGATGCTGGGTTCTCCCAGGTGTGTGCCCTAACCACTAAGCTATAGAGTTATTCTCAGTTTGATTCTCTCTGGCCTAATGACTCTTTAATTATTTATCCAAACTTAGGTGAGAATAAACAAGAGAGGAGAACACTACACATCACAATATCCCCTAAGACCCCTGGGAGACCCCTGTTCAAATCCTTTTTCACCCTCTGGTAGAGGGGGAAATTGAACCCAGGTGAGTGCACTAAGCACTGGGCTAAAAATTATAAGGTGGGAAGCGGCACCACCACTGTGCTGATGGTTTATGGCATATTCAGCATCTGAGCCAGCCCCACTTATTTTCTTTTTTCTTAAGCAGAGGCAGTAATACATAGTAAATGTGAGACTTTTGGCTGGCTTTGCAGGACATAAAGAGCAACATCACAGAGTGGCAGTGGGAAGGAAAGTCATGCCTAAAGGAAAAAGTAACAGGAAAAAAATAACTAGTCTGCTTGTGGCAAGATCAGTTAGTTGATCTGGAATAAGGGCATCATTTTGTTTTCACTATTGTATGAATTCAAAAAAGGGTCCAATATTCCAATACCAGAAAGTCTTTTAGCATCTTGGTTAATTATAAGGAATGCAATCACACTTACTAAACTGTGTCCTACTCCCTCACACTTCCACACTCTGGGCTCCATCACCATATACTCTTTGGCTTACTTTGATCATGCCATTAACTGAAATCTAAAGCAGCAGCAGAACTAATTAGAGACTGGAGTTCTCATCCAAGCCGGAGAAGACTTAGTGGACTGAGCACTAGATATGGCATAGCTAGTTTCTCAGCTATCACATGTTCAAAGTCTGGCCGAATCAATTCAGCCCTTCGCTATGTTCAGGCCATATAGCGGACTATACAAATCTTTCAAAAGAGAACAAGTCCTGGCAAGAGAATGCCGCTACTGAAATGCCTTAACTATCTACAGATCACTAGTCTCAGGACATCTACAATTCCTTTACTTCAGGAAACAACTGAAAGTAATAAACTCATCCATAAATGAAAGTACCTACCTTTTATTTTTATAGGTTCATGTATAAACCATGTATGGCTTGAGCAGCTGTAAAATGCTTAGCCCTGGACCCACTGAAGTTAACGGAAGTTGTATCATTAGCTTGAGGGGAAGCAGGGTTTGTGTTATAAAATTAAAACCCACCACAACTTACATGAGCTATCCATAATGAGTGGCAGTAAAGAACGCCTGCTCATCTGGCTTATGGAAACATTGGCAATATTCCTCTCATTTTTCAGGAATAAAATAGAAGAATTTTAAAAATCAGAAGAAATAAACCAAATAGACATGTTGCAGCATGTCTACTAGTCTTAGTCACAGCAGTTCACTGGTCTTGGGTGCTTAGGGACTGTGAAGGGAAGCAATTTCCAATGCTGGAGGCCCTTGTTGGAGAGAAGTCTCTGCAGCCAGCCTCAGAGTCTCACCTCGTGAACCACTAGCAAGAGTATTCTAGATGCTCTTATCTGCTGTAGCGGGAAATAGAGCAAGGGGCAGCCTGCAAGACAGCCAGATTCCAGACCATTCAGGCCTTTAAAAGTTATCAATCGTCATCCACATTTTGAATTGCATCCCAAAGTCAATGTAGAACAGCACAGATGGTATGTGCTCAGAGAAGCTGTCCTACTTCAGCAGGTGGACAGCTGCTGCCTGCTCCTGGGTATTAAGCAGAGTGTATTCAGATTATGGATAACACTGGGAAAGCACTGTAGTTGGTGCCAGTTTTGGCAAAGTTCCCTTTTCAACAGTCTGACTGTCAAATCCTCCATGTTAATCTGCTGACTCTGCCCCTGACAGGAGAAAAGGAGCGTTGAGAACAGCTATGAGCATGAGCACTGGGGAAATGAAAAAGGGAGGCTGGAAATGAGGAAAAAATAGACTAAGTGAAGAGAAAGAATATAGTAAAGTATGACAGACAGACAGCTACTGTTGTACTTTCACTAGGAGAATTTATTTCAATCCCTTTGCACTGTTTGATATAGAAAATTTCAAGGGAAATACAGGAGTCTCTGGCAACGCTTTTGCCTGACCTGACTCTATCTATATAGAAGCTGATAGCCAAGTATTTACTTGATTACCTAGAAGCAGGTGTGACAAAACCAATCTTGTTCTTGTTTATTTTAGCAGTATCACTCCAGTCAGTATTACAAAGAGTCTGTCAGAAAGCTATTATTTCAAAAGGATGTAAGCTATGGCTGTACATTTGCTCTGGTCTGAAATTCACTAATACAGTGCAATTTCCAGACCTGGATAAAAAAAACGTTTGCATGATTTGTTGTAAAAAAATAGGAGGCCAACCCCGCTTTACTCACACAAGTGAATCGAAGAGGAGAGTAAGGGAGCATTGAAGCCAATGGGACTACTCCCATGAGTAAGAGTTAAAGAATCAAGCTCTATATTTGTCCTTTAAAATGGGTGCGTAGGTGGGAAGAGAAAAGGGCCAGATTCTCAAGTGGTATAAATCAATGTAATCACTAATTTACACCAGCAGAGGATCTGACCCTGTATGAGTAGTGCTAAATTCTTCCCTCGGGTATTCATGTGCAGATCCCACTAACTTCAATGAGACTTGAGTAGAATTTAGTTGTTGTTTCTTCACACCATGCTCACTCCCACATAGGATATGAGCTCTGGTGTGAAAACATACTCTGCCAGAAGCATTTCTCCAATGTTTCCTTTTGTAAGCAATAGATCCTCTTTGTAAATTCTGTAAAACATGTTGGATAAAAATTTTAACTTCCTTTGCAACTACAGAAATCATTTCCCAGTGGCATTTTGCAAACATTCAGCTAAAATGGGCACTCTTCATCTTTTTATAATGTGTCAAATGAATAAAAAAAAAACCTAAACTCCTATGTTGATTAGTTTTGCTTAGCATTTTCCCAGAAGAGTTGGTACTTACATAAACCTGAGCTCTGATTCTCTTCTGACTAAGACTTCCCGAAGCCTCTGGATCTTTGCCATCTCCAATTCAATTTCCTCAGGCATCATTGTTGTTTCAGCCATTGAGATGATGTCAAGTTGATCTATGTGTGTGAAGGAAGACAGGAAATGAATGAGGATGGTCAAACTGACTTAGCAGGACCTTTAAAGAATGCAACTTAATCACAGAGGTGCCAGGCCATGGTGCAATTAATGTGGGTAGCAAGGAACATAGTAGCTGGATGGTAGGTGGACTGGTCCTTTCTTGTTTTGCTGGGTACTTTCAATGATTTTTAATCATTTAAAAATAAAAGGATTCCTATAAATCTCTAATATGATTTGACGTGTGTTTCAGTAAGTCAGAATCAGGGCCGGCTCCAGGCACCAACTTGCCAAGCAGGTGCTTGGGGCGGCCACTCCGGACAGGGGCGGCAGGTTCAACTATTCGGCGGCAATTCGGCGGACGGTCCCTCACTCCGAGCCAAGGACCTCCTGCCGAATTGCCGCCGCAGATCGCGATCGCGGCTTCTTTTTTTTTTTTTGCGCCGCTTGGGGCGGCAAAAACCCTGGAGCCAGCCCTGGTCAGAATATATTACAACTCATAAGAAAGCCTAACCTATGGTAACCCAGTGTACAGTGAGAGCTGCTGTGTCTTGTTTTACATCACTACAGACTTTTAAAATATAGCAATATAACTGCTACAGAACTTACCAGCTACAACAATTACTATTGTGAACAATCCTGCATTGGAAGAGATATGGACAAAATGAACTAATAAGAATTTTCTATCTATCTAATTCCTATGATTCTTCCTGGCACTCCATTGATTTAAATGAGACAAGCAGTTAAAAGGGCAGCCCAGAGAAATGCTAGTAATCATGATTTCCATTGAAATCAGGTGGAGTGGAGGATACACAGTACTTTGTACGAGGTGTTCAGCAGCTGGCAGGATCAAGCAGGCCCCTTTTATTATTATTTTTGTGTAATTGACATGTTCTCTCTTCCCTATTGGTAGAAGTAGGTACTATCAGTCTACAGAGAGTTGCTTTGGGAAGCAGGAGTCTGACCTCCGGAAACCTTATACTGATGTTTTATCACATTTATTTATCTTAGCCAAGATTTTCAAACGTGACTAATGATTTTGGGGTGCTTTAGTTTTTGGGAAGCAACTTAAAGAGGCTTGGTTTTCAGACAGTGCTGAGCACTTGCCCTCTGAAAATCAGGCCCTTTTAGTCTCAGATTAAATAACAAAAACTGAGACACCCAAACTCACTAGCTACATTTGAACACCCATATGTACAGGACACAAATGAAATTATAGCATTAGCTGCATTTCTGAATTAGGAGAATGCAGCTCTAGCCAATTACAAGGAAACAAATTCTGAAAGTACCACCATAAAGACCAGGCCCAGGCAGCTGAACATAACTTCTTGCAAAGAAGACTTGGAATATGAATAAAGCTACAGTCCCCTCTGTGGCGTTATCCATCTTCAAGCACTATCAATCTCCTTATGTTCTCCTTTTTACTCTACCCAACTGCTCTTAAGGTCTCATATTACAGCGACCATCTAGTGGTTAGGGCACTGGCATGGGTTCAGTTCCCTGCTCTGCCATGGCCTTCTTGTGAGACCTTGGGCAAGTCACTTAGCCTCTCTGTGCCCCATTCATTAAATTGGGGGGAAATACTTTACTATCTCACCAGGGTGTTGTGAGAAGAACATTAAGAAGATTGTGAAGTGCTTTGAGATCTAATGATGGAAAGTGCTGTATAAAAAATAGACATTATTGTTATTATTATTATTATTAACACAGAGGAAGACATCCAGATCTGTTTTTCCTCAGAATACCTGCAATCAACATGGCTTCTGTATTAGCTAACTCACCAATACCTATTCTTGGAGAGTTGAGAATTGGGAAAATACCTTAGGACTGAAAAAAGCAAATATAGACTCAATCTTCAAAAAAGGAAAGAAGAGTTACCCTGGCAACTATAGACTGGCAATTTCAGTTCCTAGTAAAACAATGGAGCAAATATGAAAAGAAAAGTAAAATCACTAAATGGCTAGAAGATAACAGAACCATGAGCAAAAGTAGCACAGATTTATAAAGAACAAAAATTGATAGCTTTTTAAATAAAATTACAAAACTGATAGATGAAGGAATGTTATACAGTATATTTGGAAATTAAAAATTTTATTATCAGCATTAAGCCAAACTGACTTGATTCTGTCTCATGGACTGGAAACAACCTAAAGGGCCTAAATAAGGAGAAAATTATAGATGATGATGATGTATTTCATTTAGGAGAGGTTTCTAGCTGGTATCAGTATTAGGTCCCATCTTACTGAATATTATTATTCGTGACCAGTGGAGTGAGCAGCACATTAATGAAAAGTATATATACTATTAAACAGAGGCCTTAAAATAACAGAAATAATACTTAGGAATTTTGAGAGGTGAGAAATATGGGCATGAGGCAACAAAATGGGATTCATCTTAGAAAACAGTTATCCATCTGGGTGAAAATAATCTGATATGCAGATATTCAAAGTGAAGGAGAAACACTTAGACACATCCTTCCCTCTGCTATACACTGCAAAGGGCAGCAAAACAGGTCAAAAAATGTGCATGAGGGAACCATCCCTCTATAACATGCTTCCCCCTGACACCACAGAAGCCCCTCTGATGAAGGTCCCTGGGGCTGAAGCTTTGCAGTTCTAATGGGTGGCAGGCTAAAGGAAAGGGAGCAGACTATGACCACAACTTGCTTCCTCTGCAAAATGAAGATTTTTTTCAGTTAGAACATTGTTAGAATCTCTTCCGTAGGCATGGGCATGATCTAGACGTTCTAATAGGAGCTGGAAATGACCTATTTCTATGATTTATATGATTCTCTGCATTATGAAACTTGTGGCTAGATTTTCCAAAAAGCTCTTCTGAAAATCCAGTCACTTATTTTGGTGCCTAAATGAGAGCTGAACTCCAACCCTTCTGGAAATTCTGGCTTAGTCCCTATTGCAAAGTCCTTCCAGCCCTGGCCTGTCTGGAATCAAGGGACCACTATAGTTCCAAACTTCAATCCAATACATGTGCCACTTTGTGCTACCACAAGACCAATGAGCAGAATTACATATAATATCCAGTGGAAGGTTTCAGAGGGGTAGCCATGTTAGTCTGTATCAGTAAAAACAACAAGGAGTCCTTGTGGCACCTTAGAGACTAACAAATTTATTTGGGCATAAGCTTTCATGGGCTTCACTTCATCAGATGTATGGAGTGGAAAATACATATACAGCACATGAAAAGATGAGAGTTGCCTTACCAAGTGGGGGGTCAGTGCTAATGAGGCCAATTCAATTAGAGTGGATGGCCCATTCCCAACAATTGACAAGAAGGGTGAATATCAACAGAAGGAAAATTACTTTTTGTGGTGCTAACGAGGCCAATTCAGTCATGGTGGATGTGGCCCATTCACATCTAACAATGTAATATATACCATCATGTGCCAGCCATGTACAGTAGCCAAACTGGACAGTTTCTACACAAAAGAATAAATGGACACAGATCAGACATCAAGAACTGTAACATTCAAAAACCAGTAGGAGAGCACTTCAGTCTCCCTGGACACTTAATAACAAACTAAATGGTGGCCATTCTTCAACAACAACAACAACAACAAAACTTCAGAAGCTGACTTCAGTGAGAAACTGCAGAACTGGAATTAATTTGCAAACTTGACGCCATCAAATTAGGCCTGAATAAAGACTGGGAGTGGCTGGGTTACTACAAAAAATAATTTTTCCCTCTGTTGATATTCACCCCTTCTTGTCAACTGTTGGGAATGGGCCATCCACCCTAATTGAATCGGCCTCATTAGCACTGACCCCCCACTTGGTAAGGCAACTCCCATCTTTTCATGTGCTGTATATTTATACCTGCTTACTGTATTTTCCACTTCATGCATCTGATGAAGAAGAAACACTTAGATACACAAGTTTATGCCCAAATAAATTTGTTAGTCTCTAAGGTGCCACAAGGACTCCTCATTGTTTATCCAGTAGAAGTTACAGCAGGAATCAATCTAAAGAAGCCTTGGAAGAAACCGAAACACTAGAGATTTAAACAAGGAAAATGGATTGCATTCTAATTATTAAAAAAAAATGGAAAGTGTAGTAAAGGATCATTACTGTATTTTAAAAACCTTTTAAACTGGCCAACATGTTCATTGGCACTGGCTGGGTTACTTTTGCTTTTTGAGTCACCCAACAAATTATAATTTTAGCTTTTACTAATAAGAATCCCTTAACTGGCAAACTTACAGCAGAACTGCTCAGGGCTCCAAATTTGCTCTTTGTAAAACTGCATTTCATTGCTAGATCAAAGAATCAGTAATCATCATTTTGTTTTTTGTAGCGTTCCATTGCTACAGAGTTATTTTAACTGGATGGATCAAAAATAGCATTGATGCAAATTTATTTTCCAAATACTTAAACAGGATGCAGGAAATCATCCTGATTCTACAAAGAATTAAAGCCAATAAATCTGCCAAATGTGCAAATAATACATAAAGTTTTAAAAATAGTTTTCAAGATAATGTAAAATAGAAGTGAATGTTATGTTCCCTACTTTAAGAATTGTAATTTTCTTCTTATCCGCTATTTATATCTACCTATAAATACCCCAGTGTTTGCTATGACCCAGACCAACCACCCCACTGTGATCTCAGGAATTCTGGAAGCGAGTATTAAAAAAAGCAGTGTGCCCAGTAGACATTTAGGGTCAGACCTTTGGCTTCTTGTTCCCTTTGCATTGTGCCCACCTGTTAAGTTTCCCCAAATTTTTAGTGGTCCCTTATAAGCTCATAGATTTTAAGGCCAGAAGGGACTATTGTGACAATCTGTTTGACCTACTGCATAACACAAGCCAAAAAATTTCACCTGTATCGAGACAGTTGAACTACATCATCTCTTTTAGAAATACATTCATGCCAAGCTGACTGGAGTAGCTCAGGAGTGTGAATACCAACCTCACGGCAAACTGTTGAGAAGCAGGGTACACGCCCCAAATTGGTTGTGAGTTCTACATTTAGATTTCACCAACCAAA